CCGAGACTGGTCAGTAACTTATTTGTGTGCTATAAGCTTTGAATGTGCGGCTGGTGTGACTGATACTGTCTCGAAATTATTAATCAGAGGTTCGATAATCTTTGGCTTCGTTATATTCGCGCGCAAATACGAAATATGAATCCATTTCTTCCCCCAGCTATGGGTAAATTAGTATGACCGGTATCATTAAACGATTATCGTATTAAAAAATACAAAAACAATTCTAACAAATTTAAAATATTTTTCTGACTTTAAATAACTTGGAAATGGTTGATAAACCGTAAAAAAAACGAATCAATCAGTGAAATACTGAGAAGCTACACGGGATTCTTTTAGATTCATTTACATTCTAGGGAATATAGGTCTATGAAAATTACCGTGGCCAAAAAATACGTGGATTGGTTTATATTTTGATTGTAAATAAAATTCACCACTTTATAATCAAATATTTTGTTTGTTTGCTGTTTGATTAGTTAGTCTTCTCTCCTCAGCTATGGGTTAAATAGTAAAACTTGTATCCCTAAACCATTATTATCCCCCAAAAATTCTTATCATCTAAGAATATTTTCTATTTAAATAACCTGCAAATGTTGATATATATATAAACAAATAAACAAAATTAAAATTCAATTTGGGCATTTATTTATTTTTCTTCTGTTTATTACGTCATTATTTCATCCATCCATTCATTTTCTTCTTTTTTATCTTCTATTTTTTCTATCTATTTTTCTATCTATTATCTATCTTCTTTTTTGTTATTCTTTCTTCATTATATCTTGAACGTTTTGAAGATGGTTACCCCTTTTTTCTTCTTCGCGTACTGGAGAAATTGTTTCTTCATTTCGTATTCAAGTTTATTTCCTTTTTTACTTCTCATCCCGCTTCTTTTCTTATTTTGTTGATGTTCATTTGTTTTTTCATTTCTAATTTTCTTCCTTCGACCCATTCAGTTCTTTCTTTTAAATACGATATTATTATATTTCCTAAGAAAAAAAATTTCAAAAATGAAAACAGAAGAAAAATGAATTGTCTCCTGAAGAACAATGAATGAAAAAAGACATGAGAAAAACAGCTTTGAGATGTATGTCAAAAATTCCTGTCCGCCTGGAGAAGAAAATTTTTCCCACTTTTCCGGAGAAGACGGAAATGAGTTCCAAAATGGATTCGTGAAGAAAATAAAATAAAAATAAAGATGGGTGGAAAGAAAAAGAAAAAAAAGATACAACAAGAAAAATGATTTCTCTCGTAAGGACGCTAAGAATAAGAAAATAAAGAAGAAGTTTGTTTTGAACAAAGTCGAATAAAACATATAGATTATATATATAAAAAAAATATATAAAAATACTGATAAAATAAAACGAAACGAAAAGAAGAAAGAGAAGCACCTGAAAGAAAAAATCAAATCCAAGGAAATAAAAAAGAAGAACAAGGAATTGCAATTAATACATTAGGCAGGTTTGAACCAAAAGAAACAAGTGGAGAAAAAGGAAATAAAAAGAGGGAAAAAAAATGAATACAATCCATAGATGAAAGGTAAGAATGAGTTCGAATTCTGAAGAAATCGAAGAAAAAAAAACCTACGTGAAGAATTAAGGTTTAAAACGTCGATCCTAGAAAAATTGATAAAATGAGACGAAATGAAAAGAATAGAAAAATGAAAAAAACTTGAATGACAGAGGAAGGTGCAAGAAATAAAAAAAATAAAATCGGAAGAAGAAATAAAGGTCCAAGAAAAGAGAGAAGGAGAGAGTTTGGTTACGAAAGAGAATTAACATTAGAAAGAGAAAGAAAGAACTCTTCTCTCAGCAATTATATGAGAGAAGAAGAGAGAAAAATTATTATTTCACAAGAAAGAAAGAAAGAAAAGAAAGAAAAAATATTAACGAACGAAATAAACTGAAAAAAGAAAGAGAGAAGAGATAGAACGAAAGATAGATAAATAGATAGATAGATAGAAAGAAAGGACTAAAGACTGAGATAGATAGATACGAAAGATAGATAGATAGAAAGAAAGATAAATAGAAAGAGAGAGAAAGATAAATAGAAAAAAAAAAAAACAGATCGATAGAAGAATGAGATAAAGAACAGACTGAGATAGATAAAGATAGATAGATAGATAGAAAGATAGATAGAAAGATAGTCTGAACTAGAGATATAAAATAGATAGATAGGAAAGACTGAGATAGAAACAGAAAGATAGAAAGAAAGAAAGAAAGAGAGATAGAATAGATAGAAATAGAAAGAATGAAAGAAAGAAAGAAAGAAAGAAAGATAGATAGATAGATAGATTTAGAGAGATAGATAAAAAAAAGAAGAAAAGAGAAAGATAGAAAATACGCAAGAAATAAATAAATAAAGAAAGATAGAAAGAAAGAGAAAGAGGGAAAGATAGAAAGAAAGAAAGTCTGAAAGAAAAAAAATAGATAGATAAGCAAAAAAAGAGAAAAATAAAAGATAGATAGATAGATAAATATATAGATACGATAGATAAAATAAATAGAAAGACAAAGAAACAGAATGCGAATAATGATGGATAAAGAAGGTCTAAATATAAAAAGATAAAAGATAGATAGATAGATGAATAGAAGGATAGATAGATAGAAATAGATATCAAAAAAGAAAGAAAGTAAAATAAAAAAAAAAAAAAAAAAAATACCAAAAAAAAAATAAAAAGGATACAAGTAAAAATTATGATGAAAAAAAAACAGTTAAAGAAATTAAGAAAAAAAAAGAATAGCAACTGAGAATTAATAAATAAAAGAAGAAATAAAAAACGAGGAAAGAAAAAAAAAATTCCTCTTCTCTGTGAACGAAGAAAGAGAAAACATAGCAATGAAACAAAGAATGGAGAAAAAAAGCGAAGATGAAAATGAGAAAAAAGAAAAGAAACTGAAAATAGAGCAGATTTAAATACAGGAAAAAGAAAATAAAATGCCGTAAAGACAACAATGAATGAAACAAAAAAAAAAACGAAACCAGGTGCTGTAAATGGATATTTTCGTTGAACATTAAAATCATCAATTATTTACAAACAAGATTCATTATCACGGCGCAGCAACCAAAATTTTCACGTAGTACAATTGTTTTTATTAAAAGATCTTTTCTTAATTATTATTCTGTTATCTCTTTTCATTATTATTTATATTCCTAGATGAGAATTTTAAAATTAAAATTTTTTCTCTTTACCCTTTAAAAGGGAGAAAAACGCCATCATATTAGATTCTAATATTGGACTGACTTTTCTTTTGCTTTTTTATTTAACATGTTTTTTTTTTTTACTAGTTTTAATTTGTTCCAATGGATAACGGCAACTTATTTTGTGCATTCCATATTCTTTTTGTTGTCTTACATGTTCAACATTTAAAATAAAAACAAAAAGACACAATGCAAAGTTAAGGTAATATGCATAGATATAAGAGAGATACTGTCAGTGACTATAGACAAGGCAATTAAAGCAGAATTGTCGAAACACTGAGTTTGGCAGATTGAGATAAATTAACTTTTTTATCGAGTTCTTCATCGTTTCGAAGAAAATAGGAAATTGAATAAATAATTTTTGATGTTTTTAAATAACGCTTGTCTTCTCTTGCTAGGTATCAATAATTATAGATAGAAACTCCCATAGTCTATATAGATGTCGTATATATATATATATATATATATATATATATATATATGAAAATTTATAGATTGATTACCTTGGAGATAGATTTAATAGATAGAAGAAATGACTCTCACTAGTTGAATTAGTTAGATAGATTCAGATTCATCGTTCTGCGATGATGAATAGATACTGTAAAGTTCCCAACCAAACCAACAGACTATCTATATCAGCATAGATTTTTATCTAATATTCCTTTCCTTCTATAGATATTAAGCTATCTATCTTTCTATCTATCTATAGATAATCTATCTATCTATGACTATTCTGACATCTCTCTATGTTTACATAGATACTTATCTCATAGATATCCATTATCTATCTATCTATCTATCAATCTTATCTATCTATCTATCTTAGTCTATTCAAATAGATATTCATCTATCTATCTATCTATCTATCTTAGTCTATTCATGATCTATCTATCTATCTATCAGAGTGTTGACTTCATATGTTCAGATTTATATTTATAATTAATACGGTTTAGATAGATGATATTGAACAATTTATGCCATAAATATAAACATTTTTAAAACTATATTCTGTTATATATATATATATATATATATAATATTGATGCATGTTTATTAAATAATTTAGACAAGTTTTGTCAAATTTTAGGTTCTGTCCTTTTGGATTATTGTCTGAATGTCAAATGGCACAGGAAACAATTAAAAAGACGAATTCGAAAATAAATATTGAAACATGTTTAAATCAATCTATCTATCATTAAATAAGCCATTATCAAAGATGACTAAAGTTCAATGCATTTGGACAACACACGGAGTCCAATCCCTTCGACCTTTCAAATTCTGAAAAATTTCAAAGCAACGACCAACGACCTGTATACTTTTTACGCGAAAGAATGATATCCAGAGTAGAACGTCTGCATCATGACCACGCGAGAGTGAAAATAGAAAAGTTTTTTCAATATGGCTCATTGGTATAAACCGGATTTATTTTGTAAAAAATATAAATTGGCACAAGGCCGAAATGGGGAGGGGTAAAGGCTGGTCTTCACTAACTATCTTATACCTAGCTAATCTGATTCACGACCCATTCATACATTACAATTTACCCATTCACCACAAGAACTTGTCCATCACCAATCAATCCTTCATGCACCATAATACCAGATTCTCACAAGGGGACCTACAAAACGCGCCCCAATCCATAAAAAATTTGATGATGAATAAATGCTATACAAAAATTCTAATAATGATAAAAATGAGAGGGGGGAGATGAACCCAATAATAAAAAAATATTAACAAAATTCAAAATAAACATAACATATGTTAGTAGGGACCGTCCAACCCTCAAAACAGAGAGGCCACTGTATTCTGCCCAAAGGACAAAATCAAGAAGCTCTCTCTCGCTAAAGGGAGTGGGAAAAAGGATAAAATATTATACGGAATGGGGAAAATAAAAAGCTGACCCAGTCGAGATAAAAAGGGGGATCAAAAAACAAACTGGGGAGGTTGGGAATCTCGACTTGGACCATAACCAAAAGAGCAGCCGGGATACAGGCCAGGAACAACACTTACTCACATTAACTAGGTACACTGAAGCTTGTCTAACCTAACCAAGGGGAGGGTTCCACAGGAAGCCATCTCGATGTGCTATAGGTTGACCTAAAAAAGAAAATCAAGGCTAGCCCCGGTCACACGAACCAAGCTCGCCTCTTTTACCCACCTTTTGCTAAAGACTGTCGAATGCATTCGTTTTCTATCAGATCTAATCTTCATCTTGAGCTGATGCTCAAAGAATTGGATTAGATGCTGATAAGAAAGACAGTTGCCCCGCAAGACTTCCTCCATTCGCGTCGTCCAAATCACCATTCGAGCCATGGCCATCAGCATCAGAAACACCATTCGTTTCTCCCCAGAATACGGGGGCGACACATTGTCACACGCGTATGCGCGATCCATGGACACTAGCTGTTCGGGAGCGAGACGAGCCGTCAGCTCGCCGACATGGTCCCATAAGGGGCGGACCCGGGGGCAATGGTAGAAGGCGTGCGCAGCCGTTTCTTCTAAACCAAGACCACACCGTTCACAGTCTGGCAAATCCGCCAAACCCCATATGAAAGCCTTGTCATTGAGAGGCAGCCGATTCCGAGCCAATCGCCAGGTAAGCGAAAACTCAGGGTTACTGAGGTAATCCGCCGCTGGCGCCCAAGACCAATAGGAGCGATACTCCTCCTCCGACAAGCCGAGCGTATCACGTAGTTTATCCTTCGCGCGACCCTCCACTAAACCACGATAGAAGACCTTCCTAGGCCGTGAAAGGTCACTGGACCGGGGAATGGCCTTCAAGGCCAACCGACACTCGACGGGAGGAAATCCGACTCATCCCGGGTTTACAACGGCGCTCAACCCGCGAGATGGGGGGACTGATGGTAAGGCTAGGGAAGGCGTCCCTAACAATCCCCTCCAGAATCGGATCTCCCCCTGTCAATGCGCGGCGTAGGAAAGCCAACCTAGAGGCACGGATGTGACTCAGAAGGTGCGGCATTCCCAGCCCCCCATGACACGGACGTTTGCACAGACTCGTCTGTCGACCCTGTTCACGCGTCCCCTCCATAAAATGGAGGATAGCGATCGCTCGAGCACCTTCCTGCGGTCTTTACAGAGAGGAAGTACGGACAATCGATAAAGAATCAGGGGAAAATGTATGTAACACACACCTCCGCCCTGCCCTTCACGGACAACCGCCGTCGATTCCAAGTCTGACCGGCAGAATCGACCTTTGCACGTACTTCAGACCAATTCTTCTCCAGCTGGAGGTCGGGCCCAAACCACACTCCAAGAATGCGGACAGGACCGTCCGTCCAACCGAAGCGGCCCGGAAGATCGACCCCTTCCAGGCACCTAACCGCAAGCCGGACGACTTGTCGCGGTTTATCTTGGCCCCTGTCACCTTCTCGTACCGATCAAGCGCCTTCTGTACCGCCTCAATGTCGCTGCGGGACGACACGAAAGCAGATACGTCATCGGCGTACGCGGAAACCCTGGCTCGAGACCCTCCAGGCACGGCAATTCCACGGGGGCCGGACTGCCGGTCTCGTCCTTCAGCCGGCGAAGGAGAGGCTCAACGCCAAAAGCATAAAGGAGAGGCGACAGCGGACAACCCTGACGAACCGACCTAGACAGCACGAACGCGTCCGACAACCTTCCGTTCACCTGTACCACAGCACTGGGGGAGCGATACAGGAGGCTAATCCAGCGGCAGAAGTTGGGTGCGAATCCAGCGGCCTGCAGGACAGTAGCAAGGTAGCGATGGTCAACCCTATCAAATGCCTTGGACTGATCCAAATTGATCAGCGCGGCTTCTTCGTCGTCTTTTACACCCTCTATGATCGTGCGGATCAGATGCAGGTTGCTCTGAATTGTTCGGCCCCTCACAGAACAAGTCTGCTCAGGTCCCAACAGAGACTCGGCAACTGACTGCAAACGCTCCTGCAGGATCTTGGCCATAATCTTTAACTCTGTGTTTAGCAGAGTTATGGGCCTGTAATCATCTAGCTTCCCCCACCACCTTTGCCCTTTTTCAACAGAGTGATCACGCCCCTGGTGATCCGGTTGGGGATGGACCCCGACCGAAACCAGTTGTTGAACACTGCTGTCAAAATCGGAACAAAGATGTGCGACAGCCTCAAGTACAATTCATAGGGCAAACCATCCAGACCGGGCGACTTGCCTCTGCCGACCTTCTTCAAAACCACGTAGACTTCGCCCTCCATAATCTCTCCCTCGCAGCTAGCCGCTTCAGTCGGCGAAAGCCGAGGAAAGTCAGCCAAATAGCTGCGAAACTCCTCCTCACGGAGACCAGGCTCCTTGGTAAACCGGTTCTCGAAATGGCGCCGAAACGCCTCGCACATGTCGTCAGTGGCCCGAAGAGTGCGCCCCTTCCGGGGACTTTGACTTCACGAATGAAACGATCGCCACCTCGACGGACCTCTTCCCTGCGCAGATCTGCGCCCAAGTTCACAGCTTCGGAAGACATCTTGCTTAACCTTGTGTCTAATTACCTGGCCCATGTACCGCTCGCTATTCAAACGATCCAGGGCCGCCCTAGCTAAGGCTATCTCTAGGGGATCCCCCAGCCACCGCCCGGGTGTAACTAGCTTTAAGTGTCTTCACCTTTTCAGCTCTATCTAGAGCGAGCCGTTTGCTGAAATCAGTGGTGAAAGACCTAATCCTAGACTTAAGGCGTTCCCACCACTTATTCCCGATAACCGCCCCCACTAGCTCCCGCTGCACTAATCTAGTTAGCTGCTCCCGGAAGTCCAGCCTGTCCAGTAAAGACAGATTGAACTTCCAGTAGCCAGCCATTCTAGGCCTATGATCTAACGCTACACGGGCACAAACGAGTTTGTGGTCCGTGTAGCCTACCCAGTGGAACGTAGGGCAATCTAACAGATCTATGTCGGCTCTTCTAACTAACATTCTGTCAAGGTAGCTAACCACCTTTTCAGAAGGCCAACTAAGAGCCCACGTCCACATATTTCCCCCGGGATGATCGACCCGGTATCTATCGACGAGACCATA